GGGGGGGGGGAGGGGGTGATTGGTCTTATGTATTTTTAGATAGTGACTTGAGTTGTGGAATGGACAAAGTAACGAACTTTGCACCCCCGAGCCTGGTTCCGGCGGTTGCTCTCGGAACCGTCAATTAGAAACGGCTTTAGCCAACTAAACCGTTCTTATTTGCAATGATTCATTGAGGCCTATATACAGTGCTGGTAGTTTTTGTGAAAGCAGTAGGTTCTAGGATTTGCAGAATCAGAGCAGTGAGGTGACAAAGAACCCCTCTCTGACGTGCTGCAGTCAACATGCAGATTCATGAACAACGTACTTTGGTGGAACCGGAATTCTACTGTATGTATGTTATAGACTACTCAATGTATGCGCTATTATGGGCATTTCAAGAGCCACGTCCTTACCTTTCGCGGCGGTGGAAATACGTATGCATCTGAGAGAGCTCTCGCGGGGGTATGGACACCTCGTGGGGCGGCGGTAATACAGCCAGAACTGGAAGGCAAGCTAAGTGGACTCGCTGGCAGTGCAGGGGCGAGGCGGAAATGCAGTGGCACTTCTCTGCTCGGGAGATGCGTTGTTTTACACTTTACGTCAGTTTCACTCTGTTTGTTTGCGGCAGTGCGAGAATGCGGAACCCGCAACCAGTTGCAGCGTTTCTGTCTGGCGGCAGCTCCTTCCCAACTTCTCGGCTGAAGGGCCCACGTTCTCTGCTGAGCGGTTGGAACCCCATCGAAATGCAAAGTGAATCACCTTCGAAAGCGTCTGAGAACATGATCAGCGCGATACAAGAACTCAATGCAATGCAGACTCACCTTAGCCGGTTCGCAAAGGTGCTTGAAAATATTGGTGGCCACCAAGTGCAGGCTACTGGCGACTCGCCAGCGGTTGAACGGCTGAAAGTCAGGCCTGTGTCACCGGTTAGTAACATCGCTGCTCTTCTACATAGTTACCGCAATTGCGTTTTCCAGCAAGTTGAAAAGGACATTGACGTTGCTCGCGAGGCGCATACAGAGAACGACGACTTTGATGACTGGTGAGCTGCCAGCCCTCTTTCTCTGGGGCTGCTTTAGTAGCCTCACAGTGTGAACGCAGGGATCTAGGTGCCCACAGGGATGTGGCCTTGAAGAACGAGCACGCACTGCACGCCGCTTCTCCCGTCGCCCTTGCTTCCCCAGTTCATTGATGGTTTCAATCCTGAACTCAATTAATTCGGGTGGTTCGAACGGCCTGAGAACTCAATACAACCAAAAAAAAGAGCTGCAAACAGCTACAACACCAGAAGTCTGTTGGCACGAATTTTACCTACGGTAGCCCAAAATGCAACAGCAGAAGGCGGTTTTGCACCTTTAAATGTTCAATTGAAATAATTCAGTGGGAGTAAATGTGTTTGGAGCATCCTTTTATCTTTGATAAGAAAGTTAACAGTTTACTTTCTTAACACAAGACCTCCTGCTTTGCAGGCATTCTTTACAGGGTGCCCTCTGGGTGGAAAACATGCATTCCTACGAATCCTACTTTACAGTAAACCATATGCCTTTGCGCAATGATCAAGCTTAGTAAAACTAGCATGTTAACACTCATCGTGAAAGCAAATGAACAAACCCTATATTCTACCGTCGGCCCCACAACGCTCTGTGAGCTGGTTCAGATTTGCTCTCGGCTATGAGGCAGCTTTGATTTAGCATGGTGCATATGCAGGAAATAATCTAAGTACTGATACATGAGGCTAAGAGGAACACCACGTTGTTAGAATATCTACGCACACCGAGCGGTGGCATTCTTGTACTGTGCAACTTCATGTGACATGCGATGTTGCATGTATGTCAATGTACGCCAACGGGTACACATTTACAATGCGAAAAGGCCGAGATAAGCAAGTATTTTTCGAAAAGGCCTCTTGTATTCTAATTTCCAGGAAATTTGGTAGCCGAAGGCAGTGTGGGCGCAGCGCCGGTGCACGCCCTACCGTGCCTATCCAGCCGTCCGCTCGCGCGCAAGGGTCACCTCAAGCTTGGGTAGTCCATTACGTTCAAAGTGTATAAATTGGTTACTGGAAAAGAAACAAAAACTTTTCGGGGGAAACTGCACTAATACAGTAACGTTGTTCACCGGAAATGAGGTCTTTTGGATTTATCACGGTTGCGGTGGCAACCTTGCTGCCAGTAGCCTGCAATGGAAAGACGATCATGGACTATCTTCGCACAGATGACCGCCTGTATGAAGCCCGCGCAATTGCCGAAGAAGCAGGTATTTTGGACGACATAGATCCAAGTCGTTTTGGAACTCAGTTGACACTCATGCTCCCGTCAAATGAAGCATTTGACCAGCTCAATGCTGAGCATCCTAAGTGGCGTCAGGCGCTCATCAACAACAAGCAAAACGTTGAGACCGTGAGCTTGTAATTATAGGGGATGCAACCGATCATATCGCAGTGTTACTGATCGTATTTAGGGTTGCAGATCACCCAAGTTCTAGTATGTGGGGATATCGGTTAGTGTGCAGCTCTTCGATAGTTGTTGATTGCCTGCAGCTTATCCTCTTCGCGGCAAGCGATATGGTAGTTACCCCTGCGTCAATTAGAAGCGGCAAATGGGAGGCTGAGGGCTCCATTGTTTCACTTCTTTCCGAGACTGCCAGCATTGCCTCCGATGGCTACGTGAGGAGCGAATGAACATGGGACATTGAACAGGAATAGCAACCAAAGGAACTCCACGCACGCGAAATAACCCACTTTTGACGCACCAGATACTGAGATGTTTTGTGGCTTTTTCAGGTTTGCGTTAGCGACTACACGAGGACAGCCTCTTGCGACGACCCCGACAGCTTGCCTTGTTGCGCTATGGTAGACCTCGACAATGTCATAAAGGCGGAAGATGGATATATTTACTTGGTTGATGCTGTTATGATGCCACAAGAGATTGTCGACAAGCTTCCATGAAGCGTCGGCATTACACAGCAACGCTGTACGCTGCGAACTGGATCGTGCTGCGCTGGCACAATGGTAGCTTACATGAACTCCACGTGATCAATTCCCATACATATTGTACTACCTGCCCTCGCTGGGTATGAAGTATAGCATGCGAGAACTCTGCTTTGCTTATATAAGGTATGGTTAACTTCTGTCGTTGAAAAAGGTTCTGTAGTAGCATGGCACTATATAGCTCAACTTCGGAGCAAAAAAAACAATTTATCGTTCGGAAAAGCTGCAAAAAAGGCTGGGCCGTTCTTAGCCAGGGAAATCACGCAAGCTTTTCTGTTGCCTTCGTCTCCAAGTTTAGCCACTTGCATGGACGCAAACGTGGACCGTCACGGCTTATAAAAATTGTGCTTGTAAAAGACTTTTATTCAGTGCGAGCTTTGCCTCAAATCCTGAACACGATTAATGCGTGAGAGGAACGGGCTTTTCTGTACGAAGGACGTAGCTTGTTCCACAGGTTGACTCTTCGTTGTGACAAGCAGATAGCGAGAGCTCCTTATCAGGCTTTCCAGGGTGTCTCGCTCTGGATCAAGCGGAAGGGGGTCGTCGCAAGAAAACGGCACGTGCGGATTGGTGATGAGACATGATTGCATACTTGAAACAGCATCGAATCCGATGGCCTTTTCGACCAGTCCCCGAATAGGCCTTTTGACGGCATCAATTTCCATGCTATGCGAATGAAGGAGCTTTCTGCCTTCTGAAGTGGCCAGTTGCACCTGAGGGAAAAACGTTGCATGGGTACGACGAAAAGCTGAACAATTGATAATCGGTTCTGCATTCAAATACATATGAAGACGCTAGTTAATGTTGGACCTTGGTGTTGAGACTTACTGGGGGCTCATGGTAAAGATATTCAACTTCAAAGTCCTAAAAAACAGCAAACAGTCACGCCAATCCGTTTCACACTTGGAACTTGCAATGCGCTTAACAGACACCTAAACGACTTCATATCTATATTGGCTTACTTTTGGCTGGACGTTCGGTATCATTTCCCCAAACTGAAGACAAATCCACACAAGCAAATTCGATGTGTGATCTTTTCCTTATTTCTCTGGAGTGTACGGAACTAGCTAAGCAAGAACGTTCAATGCGGTGGGAACTAATATAGTAACTGTCCATACCTTTTGGTCCAGCTGTACTACAACCATGCAGTCTCTGCCTTTAGGGACCGGAATGTCAGCAAGCTTTGAGCCCATGACCATGTAGTATGGAAATTCTACTTTTGGAATGCAGCCTGTAGGCGTTTGAGCCCCCCAGAATATGCGGCTCCACACACCCGTCGGCGGAACATTTTTGCGGAGGAATACCCGCACCAATTGCTCCCCAACATCAGCTATATTGGCGCGTTTCTCTCCGGGGCCTTGAATAAAGAAACCGGGCACGGTGGACGCCTGGAAAACAGCAAGCAATCAAACGGAGAGGTAGCAAACCCATAACAGAAATAAATACAACGAGCTCCCAATGAATTGTAATTTGCGGACGCGTACGAACAAAAAAGAGCTTACAGGCTGCCCAGAAAGAGTTCCCCAAGTTTGCTGTGTTGGGAGCATGACACCTGCTGGATACCCCGACGGGGATGACGACCCGACCTCTTGAACACTCTGGGGTGTGCCAACGACCTGCAAGAAAACAAAAGTATGCAGCGTAACGGCTTGTGCTCGCGCTGCAATCGACTTCCGAGAATCCGACTACTGGAAGTGCTCCTAATACTCACTTGCACGCTCATTGAAATATGCTTTATCTGTGCATGCTGGGCCTCTTCCGGAACCAGCTGCCATAAGGTGACATTTGACAGAGTCTGCCGGGCATTTTCTGAAGTGCCCAGCGGTGTCTCAACGGAGAACTGAGTCCCATCTCGCTTTGTAAAAAGTGTGCGCAGTACTATACGCTGATCTGGAAGATTGGCAGCCTGCAGCATACTTCCCAATCGTTGCCCCATTCTTTTGAGAAGGTCGTTGACACTGTCCTTATCAGTCGAGCTGATAAATCGCAGGGGTAGCTTTACTTTTTGGCCTAAGATGCCGACATCTACAGAACCATCTTCCACCTGAATATCAAATACAAGTTAGGCCATTGCAAGAGACACTTTTGAGGAAGAGTGGCTGCAACGGAGCCAGTTCACTTCAACCACGCGAATGACGGAAAACCTACCGGAATCTGTCCCGCAGCCTGCAAAACGAAGGAACGCAATGGAGGAGCCAGTCAGAGTAAAGGTCAAACGAAACCTCCAGCCTTTTAAACAGACGCATGACAACTAACCTAACCGATGGCTTGGGGGGTTGAGAACTCACTTTTGATTCAACTTTGATGTCAGAGATCGAGTTTAGAGCAATATTCAGGTGAGCCATTAGTTTCTCTATTGTCTTGTCTCTGTCGAGAGGAGTAATAGGTACTGTTACTTTTCTAGCGGTGGGCCCGGCACCGGTAAATACGACGAGATACGATCCGTCGGGAACCGACCCAGCAGGCGTATTAAGGAGAGCGTCGATAGCTGCGTTAGGGTGCTGAGAAGAATTCGCAGGCAGCACAAGCTAAGGGTCTTCTCGCATGTCGATCCAAGAGACATTTATGACGCAGTGGCACTATCTAACAATGGCCTCATCTACCCATGGCCTTATTTAACTTCAACGCAAGCCTATCCGCCTGACCGCACTGCTGTGCATGCGGTGTACTGCAATTACCTTAAATGTTTTCGACCCGATTGCCTGGAATGTTTTGCACACAGGAAAACACAAAACATGGCACTCATGAGTGACGCCAAATTTTCACTAAATTGACAGGGTAGGGGACAGTTCAAACTGGTATGCTTTACCTGCGTATCAATTTGAATTGTTTGCCCCGGAGCGACATTGCTAACTTGCTTTAACGAGTGAAGAAAGGACAGAACCAATGAGAGACCGGGAGCTCCATGCATTTCTGCAATTTCTTGTAATAGACGGATAAAGTCAGAAGGGATCAACTGCTGGACAGATTCACCGCCAGGTCCAGTAATGTTAAACTTGTAGTCCGTAGGTGCTTGTCCTTTTCCTGGCACTTGGATATTCAAAAGCTTTGCGAAGTCTACTGGAGAGCCTGGCTTCTCGTCGTAAACTTCTCCATTCACTACAAAGTTCTGTTAGCGAACACACACTGCAAGGGAAACAATATTGTTAAAATATGCGTGTTCTCGCTTTAGTAGGTAAAGCAGCTAAGGTAGCTGCACTCTGGAAATATTATTTTAACGCATTTATGCCCACCATTTTCTGGGTTGGCGAAGTCTTTTTTGCAGTTGTTCCAGGAGCTGGCTGGCCCTATATCACAAGGCAAGAACGGAAAAGATTGCAGGACATTATATATGAAGAAGTGATTTGTCTAGAGCACCAAACATATACTGAATGAAGTAGCTAAGAACATACAATTAAGACAATCTCGTGAGAATCCTCGAGGTCAACAGCACCGCCAAGTCCCAAAATACTGCCGACGGTATGCCCCAAAAGCTGTGCAGCACTCAGGAGGGCTCTGTAGGCAATGCCGTCTATCACGACAGTGATATGAATGGAAGATGGGTCATCAATACCCAATGTGTTCGTAAACCACCTAACAACTTCAGTGAAAGAAGCATCCAAACGTTCTGGTTTGCTTGTGAAGGGCACGGCTGTACCCGCCATTGCAGTAATCTGAAACAGAAAGAAATATGCAAATGAAATATTGTACATAGCAGCAGAGTTCTATTCACCACTCCTACAATGCCCAAGACTTAGTTCAGGTATGTAAACCTGAAAGCGCAGCCCAACGAACCTTATATTCGGGCTTGGTCTTTTGGTGCTGCAAACGAAAGCGCACGCAAAATCAAAATAAACGAAAATGAGCCAAGCGCGCTATTAGATAGGTGGTCTTGTGAAATGCTTTTAGGTGTTGGCGATCCCTTACAATTGTAATATATGGATTATGCAGCATTTTAATAACGTTTTCCACCGGCATCGTTTCCGGAATCGCCCCATGGGCTACTGGCACTCTGGTTCCAAAGTTAACAGGATATCCATCGCTCCCGAGAGTTTCTGGGCTAAACATCTCAAGCTCAAAATGAGGCTTAACAGCTCCTGGAGGTGTTGGGCCTCCGATGCGAATGTCGGTGGAAGGAATCTTAAATCCCGTTGGGCCTTCAACGTCCCCAGTTATCTTCGTGACGAACTGGGAGAACGGAGTGCTGCCGCCGATATTCAATTGACCTAGCAGGTCGGAGAGTGTTCCAGCGTTCGTTTCCTGTTGAAGACATTAGGTCGCGCAACCATACGCTTTGGGAAATGGGTTGTTAGCTCAACCGGCCACAGCACATTAACAGTGAAAGAAGTTGATGGTTGGAGCAAACTTACGGCATAGTGTCCCGCAGGCTTCGCGATTGCCTGCACATCGTAGACAAAGCAAATTCCAAACATCTGACCGTACAAGCCCTTTGGAGCAGCATAAGTTTAATCAGGAGGGAAGCAACAGGTTTTCATACCTTAATGATGATGCGACCTAGACCCGGTATTTGTGGAGCAGGCAAGTGCTGCCACCCGTTTGGGACCATTGAGAAGTTTAACTGTGAGCCGTCTGTCATTTCCAGAATAGTTTCTAAGGTCACGCCAGGTGGCTGGCTTGCTAATAGATTGTTGATGACGTGGGCGAGCGGCTCCGTAGAAAAAATGTGTTGAGGATCAACACCGTGATGTGTCTTCATGAAAGCTGTCTTCAAGCTTTCCGGCATCACTATTTGGACCTGAAATATACGAAAAACATAAAATAATTTCGGAAGCTATTGTTAACGACGACCTCTGACGATCTAAGTAACTGGTGTCGTTTTGTCCAAATGGAGGGAAAGGAGGTTCAGGCTTACAGGAGGAAGGACGAAAACCGGCTGCAAACAAAGAGACGCAAATATATATGTACATATATCCACATCCATTGAAGGTACTACAGACAAGCGAACAGTACTGAACAGAGGGTAAGCAAGCGAACATACCTGGACTGCTCCGACAATTTGTGTGGGGCGGGTCCCTTCAAATGTTACAGAGCAAAACCTAGCAAGCTCCACCCAAGACGCGAGCCCATTCAACATCTGGCGAGTTAGGACACACTGATCCGCATTGGCGAATGTGAAAACCATTTGGTCCTCCGGATGCCCTCCTTCCAAGAGTGGCTCTATGTATTTCATGGGTTTCTCATCCCAGTGAGCGGTATAGTAGTGAGGCGTTTGCAATCGGTCAATAAGAATGACCTGAAAGAGCAGGACATAGAATTTTGCAGACAACTATACTTGCTAGATACTATATACAACAAGGGCAGATATCATATAAACTTTACTTCAAAACCTAGACAGTTTCGTTCTCACCGGTACAGCAGTCCTAGCTGGGGCGTAGTTTGGAGTTGTTCCCTGCAAGCATGGGATGCGCATGTGCTAACTGGACTATCGTATGCTCCATAGTGAACGGTCAAGCCAGTTATTCGCTTTCTAGTTGTTTCGAATCTTCTTGCAATTGCTTCACTGACTCACCGGGCTGAATGTGGAAACCAAAATATCTCCGTCCAATAAGTCAATAGGGATTCCACACAGCTTAGCAGCTTCCTCCTTGTTCTTCAAGTTAAGGAACTGTTGAAGAGTAATTCCATGACAGTAGAAGTATCTTCCATTGCCTGCTGGGGCTTGAACATATACGAGTTCGCCGGTTGGTGAAGGCGGTTTACTCAGGTTGAAGACAAGATCAAAGCTATTATGTAAATCTGGCATGCGAGAGAAACCCGGGATCCCAACAGTCTGATGAATCGGATTAGTAAATGCCTTCCCAGTTTCTTCTTGTTCTAGATCAGGGTAAAAGTTGAATTCTCCAGTTGTGCCTCGGGGTGGCATTGCTGTGCCAGGATCAATTCTTGTGCCCCAGCGCTCCGGCTCGGTGCCGAAGTAATTGATATTAGTGTTAATGCTACCGGATGGAGTCGGTACTCTTTGAACAAACGTGGATCCAGGTACATTAATTCCAGGCTGTTGAACTAGGTTAAAATAGATATCGCTTGGGAGGATGCCAGAAATTGGCGAGCCAGGTCGCCTAAACGTGTAGCCAAGTGGCAGGTCATTTTGGAAGGAAACGACTGGTGTACCCTGTTGGGTGCATCACACACACGGTCACACCCAATAACATATGTTGGAATATTCCTTCTAGAAAAATAAGCAAATGGCTGGCATCACAGTGGAAGATTGCTTTATTTACCGGTTGAGATGGAGGATACATTGCCGTCTGGCTGCCTTCAATCCAGACAAACGGAGACGCCAAACCGCGCAGATCTTGGAACTTCAAGTTGCACCATTGAAGAACTTTTTCCCACGTTGTGGCCTTAAAGTCATCTGCTGTGCGGATGCTGCAAGGTTTACCACTTATTTGTTGGTTAGGGCTGTACAAGCTATATGTTAAGGAGTACTCGCCATTGGGCAATTCTACATTTAGAGGTGTTTGAGGATTTCCATGGGCAGAGATGTTGCGAAACACCCTAGCTCCGTTGGCCCTGGCAATGTCCAGCTGCAAAAAGACACGCATCGAAAAGGTCAGTACCTTGTATATTTAAGCAGCGACACAGATGCTTCGACGCTAGGAATCGAGCGTTGGCAGCCTTTTACCAACGTACCGTTACCACTCCTTCGCGCTGCAAAATAACACGCAGAGGCAAACAACAAGCTTTAGGTGGAAAAAACTGTAAAAACATAAAGGTAGAGTGCTACTGTTAAGAAGGGGAACGAACAGCTGGTCGGCTCACCAGTAGCACCTTGTCCTGATCAGTTGGCTGCAGAAACACACGACAGGACACCCATTGGATATATTTGGTTGCAGCATGTGCGCTTGTGAGGCCGAGTGCAACTCTATAAAGTGGGGCATGCCATTGTTTGCAAGTTTGCTTACTTCATGTAGAACTGTGATATTTAGCCTGCCAGTAAGCCTGGCGACCTCATCAGCCGGAACACCAAGTATCGACAAAATTTCCCGAACAAGGGCAGCATTTCGAGGTCTGTCACTCTGTAAAAGGGTTCGTATCTGGCGGATATGGTCTGGTGTCATCCTTCCTTCATGCTTGGCAAACTTCCACCTTATATTTTTGTCATCGTGCACGTTCGCAAATACAACAGCAAGACGTTCCAGGTATCGTCTGTTCTTCTCTGGGTCTCCGTGCGCACGGTTCCACAGACGGAAACCCTGAGTGCATAACCCACGCCAAAAACTCCAATAGCCATTTGAGACTGTGCTATCCCTGACCAACAGTGTGTGGACCCAACAAACCGCAAGATAAGGTGAGAGCCAAATCTTACTGAAGGTGGCGGAGATTTGATCCCAAGTTCGAATTGAAATGGTCGCCTATTGGTCATTGCTCTCTGAAGCCCGGGACAGATCTTGAGGAGCTTTTCCATGTTGTTTATGTATTCAAGGAGATCTCCGAATGTGGAAACTTGGCACCTGCTTTTCCTGTTGGAAGGATTTTCCTCCGTTTCGTTGCGAACAATGAGTTGGATTTTTGTGTCGCTCAAAGGACCAAATCCCCTCATACGTGACAACCACGGGCCCAACAAGCTCCTCCAATGTGAAGGATCAGCCACCTGAGGACGGCAAAGTGCGACTATATAGGCCCCTTTTGACTTGCTTGATTTATTGGGCGTGATCTATCCAACAATGCGTGTTTGAACAACTTATGAACCACTTACGTGAACTGAGAAGAGAAGCGCCTTCTGTGAAGGAAAGGACAGCGTACAGCATAAACGGAGTTTTACTGGACAGGGCACAAAATCTGAATAACCTGGAGACTGCCAGGAAGTAAGGTAACTCTAATTCAGACCAGTGCAAAATGTGCGGACGTGGGACGCACTTCTCCCGCTGCAGCTTCGGCCTTTTCCTTCAGTTTTGCTTCACCCTCCGCTTTAATATCCTCCACCGTACGCTTCCACTGAGGTTGCACACGAAGACAGGCATGGTTAATTTATAGTCGCTAGACTTGAGTTAACTTGGGTAGTGGCGGAAAAGATAGTTGACTTAGCATCTTACTCCAAACATGATCATCCGCGCTTTTTCAGGAGAAATCTGGCGAAGGTTTTCAATCGATATTCGCAGCTTCTCGCCTGAAGTGGTGAGAAGGAAAACCAAGTCATTTTCTCCATAGCCACCACGTGCAGTTAGTACGCGAGCAAGTTCAGCGGGGGTGACGCCAATGGACCCATCGCTACGCGAGCAAACTACTTGAAGCGCAACTTTAAGTGCAGGCAGCCCTCCCTTGGTTGCGTCCACAACAACACGCGGGTATCCTTCAAATGTGAAGAAGGATTTAGGTATGGCATATAGTTTTGAAAGCTGAGATACGACACTGCGTTTCCCTCCAATCGTCAATCCTGTGGCAAAGTCTGCTGGTAAATCGACATTGACGCCGGTGTCGGAAGATGACTCTTCGTTTTCAACGTCAAATACAACCTTGACATTCACCTGAGGAGGCCAAAGTTTTGAAAAGCACCCAACTGTATTAGACAAACTCTTTTATGTACTAGTTCCTGGCGTTCTGTGTTTTCGGTACTCCGCTGCGTACCTTGACTTGGGCAGCCGCTTTTTCTGCCTTCTTTTCAGCTTTTGCTTTGTGCTTCATGCGTTTTCTTTCCTCCCGTCGTTCTTCCATGCCCTGAGACACGTGATCCACAAACAGTGGGGGTTGGGTGCTCGAAAAATGGCGTACAGTCAGCATTAAGCCCGCGGTTAGAGCAACCGGAAGCTTACCAGCACTCGGAATGTAATCTCGTAGACGTTGGCAAAGTCCATCACTGCAGCTTCTGGTGACTGGCGAGTGGCCAAGTGATATACTTTCCAAAATTCGTCGGAAAGTTTTAACTCAGGATTTCGTATGGGTACTGTCAAGTCTCTCTCGACTCCCTTTTCTTTAACGTAGAAGAATGTGAGGGATGCTGGTATCGCCCACTTTGTTTCCTTCGCCAGAATCATTTTTATTTTTCGCCTGATCGCCTGAATCAAATCGTAGTCTTCAGCTGTTTTACCTGGCTTGGCCCTCAAGCTCTCAACTTGTCCCTTGAGTTTTGCAATCTCAGCTTGCGAAGTAGCCACATCGGGCAGGTTCAACTGTGTCAGCACATCAGGCCGAGACGCGGCTATATATTTCCTTATAATTGCAAGCAGATCACGGAGCTTGACGGGACGAACGAGGTCTGCTCCTCTCAAAGTTTGCTCCATAAAACGTTGTACTTCATCAACATGTGCGCTCCGCATCTGTCCACACAATCACCACTCAGGTTCGTAATGTTCATCCAAAACACTACACCTTCTGTTATCTTCTGCTTAATAGTGGAGATGCATTGAACAAAAGACCTCAACTTACGTCGGCAGCATTGCACTGTTTTTCCCATCTTTCGGCACGATCCGAAATGCCTTTGATCTTCCCGCAAAATACAGTATGCATTGAAACAACCAGGCATTTATTCCTTTCCACGTCTGGGCGGTAGCATGTGGTGAATCTTCCAGCAGGTGTCTCTAAGGTTATTTGAAGGCCCTGAAGCGAGCATAGCAGTGGGCGTTCATCGAAATATGCAAGTGTCTTGTTGCAACCATACAGCTTAAAAGGCGAAACTAAACGCATCTAGAGTTAGAACACCGTGAACCCCGGCAACATTCAGGTGGCACACAAAACGAATCTTACCTTACGCAGCTGTTCCACTGCTTCTTTAACTCCTACGTAAACCGGAGAATCCGGCCGCACTGTAATCGGGTTTCCGTTATCGTCAAACAATGAAAGGCTTGTCTTTTCCCTGTCGAATTGCCGGTATCTGTGGAAGAAACTGTCTGAAGCTGCACCCCAAGACTCTCCAGGACGGACCGGAACATTGTGGGCTTCTTGGCCTCCCTCAGGCGTGGAAACAACGAACTCCAGGCTACCCTGTAGAAGTAAGCAGCCCATATAACAATCACGTTTGCCGATGCTGATGCCAAACTAGAAAGCCAAGTACAGCAGACTGCGGACAATCTCCACAAGGGCTACCCTGCATACCTCACCTCTACGAACATATTCTTAATTGGTAGGGTCAAGAGATGATAGGGTAGTTGGAGTTCAGTAGGGTCCAATGTCTTCCAATTAGGTGTGTGGATAAGGGGCCTGATAACATCAATTAGTCTAATCTGCTCGCCACCCTCCACTTCAATGATGATTTTGCTGAAGAGCGAAATGCGATCTTCGACAGGCATACTGTCAAGGTTTACAGGCAGCTGCAAATCTGGTATATGCTTTTTGAGCCACTGTTGGATAACCGTGAAAGGTCCCGTAAGAGCTGCAGTCCCTGGCCGCAAAGGGATGTTCACTGCCCCTCCTGTTTTGTGGGGTCCATTTGCATCTGTAAACGTGTCTTGGTCACCAAGAATTGGGAACTACAACACACAAAAGACACATGCTTCGGTGTACAGGAGTCACCGCTTAAAGGAATTGCGCGGGTTGGATTGACCAGTGCATTTACTTAAATTGTGTCAGTGCGGCATACCTGAGGGTGCCAGATAACCTTTACTTTTCCAGGTGTTTCATGGTACCAGCTTTCTGGAATGTATCCATGCGGCAGAGCACTGGCTTCTGGCTTGCCTGCGTGCTGGACGTAAGGAAACTCCATGGTCGGCACTTTGTTCTTCAGGAATGGCTTTTGGAAGTCGACCAACAATTCCGGAAATTTCTCGTTCATTTTTACCCTGGATGTTACTGTTTTTATAGTGGGTTTTCTTTCTCGACCTTCCCGGTCAAATTTTGGGATTTCCACAGTGCTCCGTAGTAAATGCTGGAACGCAAATGGCAACACGTATACGCGCAACGGGGTGTGGAGGCCTCCCTACCCGAAGGCTAGTTAGTTCTAAATCACATTAAACGCTTTAAAGGCCTACCGTTGCGCTAAAATAGAGGGCAAGAGATTCGCCTCTCCTATGAGCCTCCGAAAATATGGCGCCTAGACGTCTGCACTCGGCGGAAGAACCCTTGAAGTTAAGCTGCTGTCTGTTGGCCGTCTTGAGTTCCGGCTCACGCTGAATTACATTGGCTACGCCAGTTATGGTCTCGAACCTTAATCCTTTGGCGTTAATAATGTTGCATCCACTCGGAGATTCCGCCGTTTGACGTGCCTTCTTCAGAAGGGACTTGATTACAATTGTGTTTCGTCTGGTGATTGGAATTTCGTACTGAAACATACACCATGGTTGTACACCTTCAGGAGTTTCCAAAATAAATATTGATTGTACTGATCGAGGCACACTCGCTCCGAAATTAAGGGTGATATCGTTTAGAACGAATGACGGGTCTTCGGTGGCCAGGTGCGCCAGTAGATGGAGAAGTGAGGGGAATTTTTCCACGAATTCTGCTACCAGCGGATACACCTTCCCGTTTATGCTTACGCTCAGCAGAGCACCGTGCTTTTCAGGCTCTTTAGGAGCCAGAGTCGCTCGCAAGTCGGGGTAGCGTTTTTCTATTTTGTTCCACTCGCGCAATGGGCTAATTATGTGGGTAGCTGCAGTTCCTCCAGGGAAAACGATCTTTGCCACTAACTGTGAAAAAGGCACACATAGACATCGAAAGAATAGATTTGGAGCCTCTATAGTGCAGACGGTGTGTCATGTGATGGGTGGGTTTTAGGGGATAGCTCGCAAGAGGCTTCACCTACCGCTGGTGAAAATTGTCCCGCTACGTAGTCGGGAACCTTTTCCACTGGAGTCGTACGAGTTCCAAAGAGGGAAAGATTGTCTGGTTGCTTATTTGCACCGAACGGCTGGCCAGTATGATCAAAGAAAAGGATTGGGGGGGCTCCAGAAGCGTACCCAGGGCCAAAAAGCCTTGAAAAATTTAGTTGGCCAGGGGTGACTCCAGTAGCACCAGGCTGCTGTCCTTTTACCCAGAGCTCATATTGCTCTTCGGGTGACAGCCCAAACCATGTTGTAGGCACACTAAATCTTTCTGTTTTTAACCCAGGTAGTGTCCCTGCAAAGGAACTGACGGAAGTGTGTCCCTTTGCTGACTCGTCGACCAATCCCTTCAGTTTCAGCAGAGTCGGCCAAGTGAGGTCGTCAACATAAGGAATCTCAATGGTGGCCTGCAAAGGAGTGTCCACAAAAAGCCAGTGTCCAGGTTAGTTTGCTAGCATGCCCTTCTGGAACCGGCTAAGCATACATGTGGTGGAACTATGGAGCTGTAATTTTGCTCAAATCAGGGTGAAATTTAGCTTACGTTCCTTTCCAGGTCCCCAGTCACCGACAAAATAGGCTCTTTTCTTGCAGCGACTTTTTGCAACCACTGCAGAGCCTGCTCCTCGCCTTGGACCTCGAACCGCTGCTTTTCCGCACCAACCAACCTCATCCGGATTATTTGGAAAGCCCCTCCTTGCCTGAGGAGGGGGGGATGCGCGTTTGCTGCCAGCCAGTCTTTGAGTTCCGTGAGCGATTTAAATTGCAGCAGGGTCTCCTTCGAAATTGTGGCAGTTACACTGTCGACGCTCTCTCGGGTACCCACCACGTGCTTGAAGTTAAGTTTAAAGGTAACCTGATCACAATCAAAGAGTCAGATAATTTTTCAATAAGGCGAAATCTCGAACAAGTAGCACTGGAAGAGAACTTGAGTGAAGTGTGAGTTACAAACGCACCGATGGCTTGCTAGCAGCAGCATTGTAACTGGATTCCAGTCTCAGCTTCAATTTTCCAGCTGTGGGAGAAGTGGCCTCCCATGTAAGATCAAACCGGGCTTCTGGATTTGCAGCTAGTGCGGACAGGTCCTGAAGTAACTTCGTCTTTTCTGCTGTTGTCGTAGTAAGGTTAAAGACGGCAACGGCGGCACCCCGTTTGAATGCTGCAACTTGGACCACCTTTGCCCCCTGAATGATGGACGTGCTGACCGATATCGTGACTCCTCTCAGGACCGTAGTACCTTGCTCAAATTCCGTTGCCTGAAAACAAATGTAAACTGGCATCGTATGGGATCAGAAACCACCGTTGCGCCCAGTTATGTCCAAGATTACGAGCTGAATTTTCCAAAACATGTTGCAGCGCAGTGGGAAACCCGCATGCACACGGGCCTAAAGCGGAAATTCACGGAAAGTCGCGTGATCATTTGCAGTGGCTTATTCAGTACCGGCGATTGCCGTGAAGAGGAATCCCCAGCTGGTTGTGCAGCACCCTCCCCAGCAGACTCTGACACCCTTGGTAGTTGTCCGCCACCGTCTGCTGCGAATTCTGAACCCTCTTCTCGAGGTGTATCAGCGGCACTTTGAATCAGACTTATCGGTGAAGGGTTGACGAGTGGCGCCATTTGCGCCTCCCCAAGGACAACCTCATGGGAGAAAAAGGACTCCAATGGAGTGAAATCCGCAGACCACGCTGTTACCTGGAAAATACGCAACCAATTAATGCAGTGAATTCAAAGAATCCCCGAGTGCTCTGGCACGTGTTACTTCTGTCGGCACTTTTGCCAGCACTACGCAGAAGCCAAAAATATCACTACCCAGCAAAATATGTGCGCACACCTCAGTATTGGCAGAGATTTCTGCTTCGTCCGTGGTATATCCTGAAATATCACATACACAGCTGTTCCGAATCGAGGAATGACAGGACAAAGTTTTCCACGTTGTCAATTTGCTCCATAAGGCAACAGCACAATGCAAAGTATCACTACTTTCCTTACCTTGTAGATGCTCAGCTCTGGTAGATGCAGCTAAGGCCACGAGTATGCCGAACATTACCGTAACCGAACTCTTTTTCTCGAATGAGCGGTGGCTTCGCATCTTACACGCTTGTCCCGGGCTCGAGTCCAACATGCATTGTGGATGGTAATGAGTTGCACTGAGTGTGGGGAAAGACCCCATTTTGCTGGGGAGGTTCTTAACCCCCTCACATTGTGGAGCCATTCGGCAGGGCTCCTCAAGATACTTCTCTGGGGTGAAAGCGGGGCGGGAAATCGCCGACCAACTAAAAGAATCCCCCTACTTTCCTTTGGAAATGTATTTGTCAACTTCAGAAATACAAAAAGAAACAGCCAGACAAAAGAAGATCTGGTGTTGAAGCCCTTGACCAGCAAGCTCACCGAGTTCGGCTTGGTGGCCCTCACAGGGTTTTCCGTTCAGAGGGTTTATCTTTCGCTCGGCAGCTGTATCTATGCTGTAGTAAGCTCAAAACAAGCGATTACTTTCCAAAACAAACTGTACCTCAAAAAATCAATTTCTCTGCTCGAAGGAGGCAATACAGCTTTAGAGAGACAGATCACTCTGACAGTGTGGCTTGTGAAGTCCCGAAGTATGTTCGCCCCCTGTAGGCGGCACGAAATATGTCCAAGTTGTTAATTGAATGGCTTCGAAAATCCAAATATATAATATGATGCTCAAATAATAATGTATTGTGGGAGGAGGTCTGCTGGTTTGCAGCCAGCCAATGACGCGGCAACCGCGCTGGGGCCCCTGGGCCGATGGTTTGGACAGCGGCCAAACCACTACAGCGACCGCCAAGCTCCGATATTTCCCATTGCCTCCAATGGAACCCAAATAAGTGTGGTATTCAATAACAGTTCATTCATGCAGTTACATATCTTTTTATACGTAAATAATAAAATCCACTGGCGCTTCTTGCTCTTTCAGTGCTGACTTCCGTCCCCATCCGCAAGACAGCGGCGGCGAGCGGGGCAGTCAGCTAGATAAAAGCGTCATCTAGATGCAGAGTCAATTTATTTATTCAAAGACATACTTTTCCATTGCTATGTCCAGCTGGCGGGGGAAAGGCTCTATTGGGAATCACTAGACACTTACTATCTGGCGCGACCGAGGCCAGCCTCGACGCGGCCATAGCCCTACAACTGCACTTACTGTCATTCAACTTTGTGAAAAAAGACACTACCTTTTTGCATATAAGCTAAGCATATGAAGTTATGTATTCCTTTTGCTTTATGGATAGCGAATTCGTTTTCCGACAGCCTATGTGTGCCTGCACACTTTAGGCCTTTGTGACCCGAGTAGGCTCGCACAGTTCCATGACTCTAGAAATCGGCATTACACGTATTCGTCTATATCCCCAATAAACACAAGCCCAATCTTGGAGGTAATTCTGAGCTCCTCATATTCATCGGGATTTCCGTTGACCGCAGTGTTTGCACTTGCACATCAAACTATTGTTGGTTCAGCCAGGAATCTGATAAGCATGCATATGCATATCCATATCAGTCACGCTGGGGATAGCCAACCATCTTCGAGTAAAGTATAATATCGCTGTAAAACCGCTGTAGCAATAGGAGGCAAAAGTGTATATCATGAGCCCTGCCCAGAGGAACAAGCGCTTTCAGTCGAGGAAAGCTAGATCCCAAATCAAAGAAAAAGTGCTGAAAGTTGGGTGCGTTGCACTTCCTGATGTTCGCGTTTTATAGTTTCTGCTGGAATCGCTGGCGACTTGTCAGCGTGAACAGTTGCCTCTCCACTGCGCTGACGCTACGCTTTCACTACATGAGGAAAATGCAGCAGGCCATGCATGCAGTGTCAATAACCATTTGCTGGTACAACTTCTTCTCGGTTAAATGCAACAACAACACAATTTTGCGGGCGTGCAAGCCTGGAATGTCGCTTACTGGTCATACTGCGGCCCTATGCCCTTAGCCGCCTGTTCCACTTCGAACTCCGTTCCCTCACAGTCACCCCCGTCCCACCTGCTTGGTTTGTTGTAGCAGTTAGCATCGCAGTGTCCATCCCCTATCCACTCCTTGGCACAGAACTGGTACACAGCTTCAGGCTCTACCGAATAGTCTATTTCCACAACTGCAGTGATATTATCGCAGTCCCCATTGTCATACCCACATGCAGCATTATTGCATTGTTTGTCACAGACACCGTTGCCAATCATCCACAGTCGGCAAGTGGAATCACATACTTCTAAGGTTCCATTTTCCTTGCGCATTGCTTGCAACGTAGCGTTTGTCGTGCTGGCGCAATCCCCTTTGTCATAAGCGCACTCGGGTGTATCGCATTCGCGGTCACAGTCGCCGTCTCCTAACCAGGACTTGGAGCACTTAGCGTTACACATGTCTAGACATTCGCCTCCGTCGAAAAGACACTCAGGCACGTTGCACTCTGGTGTGCATGATCCGTTCACAAGTAGCCTGCGTTCACACTTACACTCCGGCAGCTGAAGACGGTGCTGCTGGAATTGTCTCAGCTTCTGCTGGAGTGCCCGGCGCTCCACTGCATCCACACCCTGCTCCCTCCATCTTGAGCAGTCACCTCGATCCCAGTTGCACGCCGCTACATAGCATGCAGCATCGCAGTAGCCGTCACCTTCCCAAGAAGGCTTGCAATCTCCCGAACACCATCCTAGACAGTCCCCTTCGTCAAAGCCGCAAGCCTCCGTATTGCAAGCGCTGTCACACCAGCCGTCTCCAAGCCAGTCCTTCTTGCACCCGCGACTGCACTGAGACCTTTGTTGTTTCTTCTTCGCGTTCTCGTCATCTCCGTTTTCCTCCTGGTTCCGTTGCACTGCAGTAGTGGAAGTATTCAAATCACGGTTGACAACTTCATTTCGCCGCCTCTCTAGCAGGCCTAGAGCCCCTTCCCTTTCAAGAGAAAGATCATTGTTTAGAATCCCCACCTCCGAAGTGGTTTGCTGCTGTCCCTGTTGGTGAACAGGCACGACAAAAGTCATAACCAGGACCAGAGCAGTGCCCTAGCAGCGGCGAGCAGGTGGAAGGGTAGCAGGCCCTACCAAGAAATCTTCGCACGAACTAGATGACAGGGAGAGCTGTGGGACAACTTAAAAAGCTGAACTATTGTACTTAATGCGCAACAACCCCCATGTCGTCCGTTGATCTTTCTTTTTTGTGCTGGCTTACCATGACACTTGCAGATGAGTTGACAGTCCCAGATCTTTGGCGTAGCCCATGTGCCCTCCCTCCTAGTATGCTTTCCGATGCTGCTGCGGTTTCGCAGTATCCTGTTCACCGACGACACACTGGAAGCACTCTGTAAAGGAAGTGCCACTGCAACGGATGGGCATCTGGTCAGGGAAATAATGCAGTTTGCAGCTGTATAGTCCTCCCCAAACTACTAAAAGCTGCAGCAATGTACGCTGAAGACAAGATTTCTAACCGCGGATTAGGAGGGAGGCGTGGGAGGGGGGGGGGG